TTACGTTCGTACGTACGTCGAGTAGCGTACGTACGTATACTACTACTCGGTCGTACGTGGTCGTCTACTTTCTTCGTGTGTAGTGGTCGTACCTACTCATATATATATATATATATATATATATATATATATAGGTGTGTGTGTGCACACGTGCATTCTTGTGTGTGTATGTTGAGGCTTTGTCTTTAGTCATCAGAATTGTTTTGTCTTTCAGGTAAGTGGCATTGTGGATCAATTGGTGAAGTTTGGTAAAGTTACCAGACCTATTCTAGGGATTAAATTTGCACCAGATCAGTCCGTTGAGCAATTGGGTGTTAGTGGGGTGCTCGTGTTAGATGCTCCTGCAAATGGACCAGCTGGCAAAGCAGTACGCATTGTAAATTGGAATAGGATTTAACTTGTTTTTTGGGATGATATGAACCTTATATTCATGAAGTCTATTGAATAATTTTACGATATTTTTCCCGTTAATATTGGAGATGCTTCCATTTGTTGTGGTTGGATTTTGCTTTCATCTCAACCACAAATATATATATCCTCTCTTGACGGGCAATGGAGAATTTCATTAAAGAGATGAGAAACTAAGGATGTCTTGAGTTTAAGTAGTGTTATATACTGGGATTGTTGGTCTTTTTCTTCTTTCCATATGTGTATGACTAGGATTTTCAAAAGGAAAATGTGTCTAAACTAATTACTTTGACCTATGATGTGCTGAAACTGTTGCTCTTTGCATTCTAGCAGGAAACAATTGTAATGTGCTGTAATGTTAAACAAAAAGGAAAAAAAGAAACATGGGTATGATGGTTTTACTTCTAGGTGTTATTAGAGGAAGAGTAGAGTTTATGATCCATAGGAAATGGTAGATGCAAGTGATTGCATCACGTATTGACTTTTACCAAATGACAAACTGTGCAAATATGTTGACTATGTCATATAGTATGTTTTATAGTTGCAACTAGCAAAGTACCGCTCCAAGTTTACATGTATATCCAACGATAGATGTTTATTTGTTTTCAGGGTTTACAATCAACAAAGCGAGATGCCTATGGCCGCCTTATTTTGGGTGATATTATAACATCTGTGAATGGGAAGAAAGTCACGAATGGTAGTGATCTATACAGAATCCTTGATCAATGTAAAGTGGGTGATCAGGTAAAACCATGATCTCAGGTTCTCTATCCTTAAACAACTCATTTGTGCTCTTTTTTCTTTTTTCTTCTTTGGGCCGATTGCAGTCAATAATGTCCAGTGAAATGCTGGAGGTTGATGGAGAGTGTGACCCATTAGAATTGGGTGACTCCAATGATAGACCCGACTCTATCTCTCTTTCACTGTCCAATTGTTTTTTTTAAGGAAACCTTCACTGTCCATCATTTCATTGGATGGTGATGATCCAATGGCCTACTGTTCCACTATCCATTTGAATTATAATACACGTTCCTTATCTTCTTTTATTGAATACCATATTTCAAAAATATTGTGCTACTTTTTTAGCTTAAGTTTGGTCTGGAGTCAGCTAAAATTCAGAGTATAGTGATAAAGAAGTTCGACGGAATTCTCCATATTAACAAACTGTGTGACCTGTTTCAAATTTGAAATTTCATTGTGAAGGTACAACTTGGTGCATATCTTGTAGATTCATTGTCTAGGACTCATTTAGACCTTTGGGAGTGTGAACCTTATCCGTGGCACGTTTTTTTGTTAGTTACTGATGGATCTTTTTTATTAGGTGACCTTTTTACTGAATTTTGCAGTGCAAAATTTATGGTTTTTGTAAAAAAATTGGAGAATAACTTATAAGAAATAATAAGAAATCGGGCTTGGGTCAAGACGGTAGAGGCTTGGTTTTCATAGCCCAAAACCTTGTAAAAAAAAAAAACTTATTATGATCATGCTTTTTAAGTTCTGCTTGCAGCAATTGTGTCCATCCATGCCATTAGGCAATGAACTGGGGGAAGCATGCAAAATTTGAATGCGGTGCTGGCCATATACCCAAATGTGGATTGATAGAACCAGTTGTCCATCAATCCAAATGTTTATTTATTTATTTTTAGTTGTTTTGACTTGTTTAAAAAATTAGGTGACTGTGGAGGTTTTACGTGGGGATCATAAAGAAAAAGTTCCTGTTATCCTTGAACCGAAGCCTGATGAATCGTGAACCAGGTGATGGAGTGATACAAAGTAAATATGGTGTGCATTCTAGTGTATTTTATCAAGATGTGTATATCTATTGACGAAATTGTATATCTATCCATGAAAATATTTCTTTTCTTTTTATTTATCAATTATACTTTTCGGTGGTCTTCTTTGTACATAATATCTCATCCATTTGGACGCATAAATTTGGCCACCTCGATAAATTCAGTGCTCTGCGCTTATTTGTAAATGTTCTTATTCCTTTGAGAAAGTGAATTTTAATCAGAAATTCCAAGACAACATGCCTTCTTTCATGAAATCTTGGGGTGTTTCCTTCAGCATTTGGACCCTTCTTTAGCATCTAACAAAATACTGGAAGACCTTTTTTATGTTGAAAGTTTCTATTTCAATTTTGGAGAACTCCTGAACTAAGTACTGTATTTCGATAAAAATTATGGGCGAGCTTAAGAAAGTATGAGGTAAGTACTTAGCAGTGTTTTTAAAACCAGCGAGCAAGCTTCGGACCAGTGGGTGGGCGGTCCGGGTCTAATGCCTTGTCAAGTACAGAGAATTAGTACCCTACAAGGAGAGAGGATTCCACATGGAGGTGAACTCTAGGGGTAGGGGGGTGATAGGGGATGGAGGCCTTGAGATGGGAGGTCTTGTTTTCCAGAAAGTAGTTACGACTTTTGATCTTGCTGGAGGCCTGCTTTTGGGCGTAGACTTTCCTGTGGTAGGTTCTTTTTCTCCTCTGGCTAATGACACTTCTGGTTTGGGGGAGTGGGCCAAATGGGGATGGGGATTACCCTACGTCCCTGAAGTTAAGATTGTGGGGAGAATAGGGTAGTGTTTTTTCTTAGGGATAAGGAGGCTGCTAACGGGGCGCTTGTCAATCATTTTTGTCGAGTTAGAGGTAAACTCTTATCTTTGGATAGGTTGAAACCTTCTCATTCTTCTTTTCTGAGCAAGGAGAGCAAGTGGATCAGATTGTGGGGTGTCCCCTTGGATGCTTGGAATCTAGAGGTTATTCGCAATTTGTTGAGCATTTGTGGTGAGTTTTGTGATATTGATAAGGAATCCTTTCTTTAATGATTCAGACTTGAGATTTGTTAAGAGTTCGAATTTGGAAGCTGGTTGGGTCTAGTGTTCCGAAGTAAGCGAGATTGCAGGTGGGTCAAGAAAACTTTGCTATTCAAGTGTCCAGTGAGGAAGGGGAGAGGCTTGTACCATACTCCAGCCGGAGGTACGAAAGAGGAGGAGGAGTGGTCTATGGTATCTCATTCTTGGCCTAATCAGCGGTGGTGGTGGACAAAGGTTCGGGTCCGGTGGTGGCTACTCGGAAACAGTCTAGGGGATGTGGCAATCGGAGAAGGAATAGGCAGTTACGTCGTAACGGAAGCAAAGTTTTAAAATTCAAAAAGTGGGTTGTTATTGGGAGGTTTCCTACTTAGACGCAAGGATTTTCGGTGAATACTATGTTGAAAATCTCAAAAGATCTGGCTGTGGGCCCATCATCTTTCGGTACTCCTGACGGTGCACTTGCATGGCCTTATCCTCTTAATCGTAAGATCTCTGCTGTGGCGGCGGATCTGTGTCAGGTGTACCTTCCCTACCTTTGGTTGTGCGCGCAGCATTGGGAGTTGTGGAAGCCGCTCCACCTTTACCCCCCAAAGGAAAGATTTCCTACCCTGTCTAGGAAATCTCGTGCAGAGGACCCATTGTTGGATATTTCTAGGCCTTCCTTCTCTGATAAATCGGTATGGAACTCTATTATGATTCTCTGGTACCTACTTCTTGCTCTCTCCCGTCTTAGTTCTGCACCATCTCTGGTTCTTCAAGGTGTTCTATTATTGCACAGAGCGATGTATCCATTGCCGTACCGTAAAGCAGCAAGGAGGAGCATTTCTCAACAGAGACCATCCTTTGATCCCCTTAATGTTGATCCTCTCGCTATTGTGGCTCTGGATGAAGTAGAGTTAGACCCAATAGATGATGTTGATGAAGTGATACTGGAGGTTGGTGAAATAGAGGAACAGGTTATGGAGGAGTTTGAGGAGGATCCTGAGTTGATTGATGATGGTGATGCTGAAGAAGCTGTTGAAGATGAGCCCATACCGGATGATAGCTCGATGGACTTTGACCCTGCGATGGCATTCGTGGAGGTGGTTTCTTCACCATTACTCTCTGTGGTCCATCAGGACAGTGCTCCTGCAATGCTTTTTACCTCATTAGAAGTGACCCAAGATGCATCTGGAAGGCCTACTTCTGATGTTGAGGGTGCGAACTAGGATTCTGTAGAGGGTAATGTTGCTAACATGGCTGATGGCATGGGCATGGACTGTGATGTCCCAATCGGGGTTGTCTTTTTAGGAGATTATTGATCAGAAGAGGGAGGCTAAGAAAATGGTTTCGAAGGATCATAGCAAGCAGCCGGTCAAGTCTGATGATAAAACCCCAATTAAACCGGATGGTAAAGCATCCAAGGGGAATCTTAGCCCACTAGATCATTGCCTAGGCTTCTGGCTAGGGAATTATTCTTGGAGGTACAGCATCTGTAGCAGTGGCTATTCTTGAAGCTACTGTTGTGTAGGTGACCAGTGGATCTTCGTCAAGTTCACACTCTTCGTCTATGGATGAAGCACTAGAGGAAGCGATGGAGGAGACTATTCTACTTAAAGAGGTGTATTTTGGCACTCACTAGCAGGGATGGTCCAGGTTCTTTGTCTTACTTTTTAATGTCTATTATTTCATAGAATGTAAAGGGTTTGGGCGACCCCAAGCGAAAAAAGATGTCCTTTTTTTTGGTTGGCAAGTATAAGCCAACAATGCTTATTTTGCAGGAGACTAAACTTCCCAGACCTAGTATTTCTGGTGCTCGGGAAGTTTGGGACTTTGGTTCAATTGATTTTGTGGGGTTTGACTCTGCGGCGGCCTCGGGTGGCCTATGGATTTTGTGGGACTCAACAGTCTTGCAGTCTTTTGAGGTTGTGGTTAAGGATTTCTTTTTGGTGTTGGGCTTTTTGGGACCCTCTCCGGGTTTTCAATGGGGTTTAATGAATGTGTATGGGCCTCATCCTATTTCTCTTAAGGAAGGCTTTGTTAGTGACATGGATGCTGTTTTGTGTAACTTTAATTATCCTATTTTCCTAGGAGGGATTTCAATTTTATTCGCTGGCTAGATGAGGCGAGCTCAGGGGGACCAATTAAGTCGGCCATGAGACTTTTCAATAGGTTTATTGAGCCTCATGCTTTAATCGACCTTCCTATCTCAGGGGCTGTTTATACGTGGTCTAATGGGAGCATCTCTAATCTATTCATGTCAAAGTTAGATAGATTTCTTATTTCAGGGGACTGGTCTGATGCTTTTCCCCTCGCCTCTGTCAAAGCGTTACCTTGGCTGTCCTCAGATCTTACCTCCATTATGCTGAGTTTTAGAGCTGTTTCTTAGGGACCTAAGCTTTTTAGGTTTGAGATTGGTTGGTTACATGAAAAAGAAGTAACTGATATCATTAGAAATACATGGAAAAACACCATCTCAGTTGGGTCCCTTGATTTCCAATTACATAAAAAGCGCCTAAGTATAAAGCATAGGCTTATACAGTGGAAGACAGATAAGAGATATAGCATCAGAGGTAAGATGGAGGAGGTTAGTGCGGAAATCGAGTTGATTGATTCCAATATCCAAAATGAAGGTGATATAGCATCAGAGGTAAGATGGAGGAGGTTAGTGCGGAAATCGAGTTAATTGATTCCAATATCCAAAATGAAGGTGTGCTCTCAGAGCAAGTTGCTTTGCATAGACTTGATAAACTTAAAATACTACAGGATCTAAGAAGGGTGGAAGAAGTACATTGGAAGGAAAGATCGAGAAATAGATGGCTTAAATAAGGAGATCTTAATACTAAATTTTTCCACGCTATTGCAAGTGCTCGTAATAGGCAGAATGACTTATCAGGGATGTTAATTCCTAGTGTCGAGCCAGATGATAATAATGGAACGGTAGATTATGTTATTAGCCATTTCAAGAGAGCTTTAACGTCTGAGGTGAAATTCACACCTCGCTTAGGTCGTGTTCCATTCAAATCCTTGTCGGTGGAAGAAGCATCTCGATTGGAAGTTGGTGTTTCCATGGACATAGCTATGTTCTCTTTGCCAGGAGATAAGGCCCCTGGCCCTGATGGTTTTCCAGTTATTTTGTTCCATAAATTTTGGGGGTTGATTTCTATTGAGTTGTTGGAGATGGTAAGAGGATTCTTTAACATAAGTGAAATTTTTAAGGGGGTTAACGCTACTTTCATTGCGCTAATTCCTAAGAAATCGGTGATTGCTAGTTTGGGGGATATTAAACCTATTAGTCTTTTGACTAGTTTGTACAAGATAGTGGCTAAGATTCTTGCACAGAGATTAAAACTTGTCCTTTCTTTGGTTTTCTCTGGACCTCAATCAGCCTTCATCAAAGATCGGATTATCACAAATAGTGTATTGATTGCACATGAATGTGTTCATTCAAGGGTGTTAAGTGGTAATCCAGGCCTACGATAGAGTGGAGTGCCGGATCTTGAAGAATATGAGTTTTGGTGATAAGTGGAGAAGCTGGATATATGGGTGCTTATCTTCGGCTCATTCACAATCCTTTATAAAAGCAGTCTGTGTGGTTTCTTTAGTACCTCACCGGGATTGAGACAAGGTGATCCCCTATCACCATTTTTGTTTACTATTTATACTGAGGGAGTTTCTTCAGCCTTTTATTGAACAATGTGGATAAGTAGGGGGAACTTCTCGGGGTTCAAGGTCTCAGAAGAGGGACCGTGTATCTCGCATTTGCTGTATGTTGACGATACGTTGATCTTTTGTGAGGCTGCTACTAGTCAAGTTAATAATATAACAACTTTTTTGAAATGCTGTGAGGTGGCTTTAGGACTGAAATTGAACTTTGCTAAAACCTCTATGTTTGGAATTAACTGTGATGAATTGATGGTGGCTGATTTAGTAGAGGTAATGGGATGCAAAGTAGACCGTTTTCTCATGACTTATCTGGGATTGCCAATTTCGGATGGGAGGCTTCCTATTACTGTATGGGACAGTGATCCAATTTAAGCTAGATTTGTAGAAATACAAACATTTATCCTTGGAAGGATAACTTTGCTTAGATGTTGTTTGGCAAATTTACCTGTCTACCAAATGTTTATAATTCAGATTCCCTTTGCAGTGACTAAGAAAATTGAAAGTATGATGATAAAACTTTTTATGGGGATCAAGAGATACTTCTAGGAAGTTTTATCTTCTGAGATGGGATAAGGTTTGTACACCCAAAAATGAGGGATGAGGAAAATTAAGTGGGTTAAACAAGCCTTATTTTGCAAATGGTGGTGGTGCAATTTGGTTTTTAGAGAGCAGCAGTGGTATGCGTCCTTGTGGCTAAGTATGGATTCGATAGGTGTGATATTTGGCCCGATCCAAGGAGAGGGAATAGGAATAAGTCGTATTTGTGGAGAGCCATCACTGTGTAAGCCATTGATTAACCGTAATGTGCGCTGGATTCTTGGGAGTGGTAATTACATAGCTTTTTGGCAGCAAAAGTGGATAGGGAATGTTCCCTTAAAATCAGTTTTCCCTAGTATCTATGAAAGGATGGCTAACCCTTATGCCATGATAGCAGATATGTTTGAGTTGAGCGGTAGCCAGATTGTTTGGAACATTGAATTACCGTACAATAGGGTCTCAGATGATCTTTTTGCTCAGAACTTCTGAATCAAGTATATATCCCTCAAGCAATGGTTGAAGATGAGGTAGTTTGGGACATAGAGGTTGATGGCTTATTTACGGTTAAATCTATGTTATCGCCTTTTATTCCATGATCGGTGATGATGGTCCTTGCCTGTAGTTGCCAAGATTTGGAAGTGGCCGATCCCTCACAAAGTTCAAGCATTTGTCTGGCTTGCGGCACAAGACAAGATTTTATTGTGGATAATTTGATAAAGGGGGTGAACTTTTTGCTAAATATTTGTCTTATGTGCAAAAATGATTGTGAAACAAGGGCCCATATGTTTCTTCATTGTTCTTTTGTCACAAGAATATGGTCGTGGTTTTTCACGACGGTTGGGGTGGGAATGCTACTTCGTGGTCAAGTGGTTGGAATCATCTCCGACCTATCCGTATCTTTCTTGTCTTCATTAGGAAAGTCTATTTGGCAAATTGCTAGAGGCTCCATACTATGGGAGATATGGAAAGAAAGGAATAGGAAGACCTTTGAAGGGATAAGCATTTCTTTTGAGAGAATTATGGAGAGAATTTTGCATTCGGTTTGGTTGCGGCTATGGGTTACTAAAAGGGGGCAAGATTTAGATGAAGTGGATGTTTGGATAAATCTATCGAACCTGTTCTTGATGGGATAATACAGACCAAAGGGGATTTGGATCCCTCAGGGAACTCTCGATGGCAGCTCCTTGAGGAATCCAGGGTTCGCTGGATATGGTGGAGTTGTAAGAAATTGGGAGGCGAATGTAGTCTTCTCCTATGCAGGTCCCCTAGGTGAATGCACTGCCAAATCAGATGAATTTCATTCCCTCCTTCATGGTTTGAAGCTTTTTGTTGCCAAAAGTTTAGGCTCATGTTGTGTGATTGAAGGCAATTCTTTGAATGTAGTGCAAGGGAGAGCAGTAAAGCCCCGTGGGAGCTTAGAGCTTTGCTATTGGAGGTTATGGATCTGATTAGACCTCTATCTATCTCATTTGTGCATGTTTTTAGGGAGGCTAACGGATTGGCAGATTCTTTAGCTAAAAGGCGTGCATATCTTATGCTGATGTAATTTCGTTTCATTAATCTTTGATAAAGTTAGAGAACATTTATACATAAAAAAAAAAGAATTAGTACCCTACAAGAAAAGAAACGACATAAGAGTTGCTCTCCTCTGTCTGTTTCTTAGGCATTCAAGATATCACACCTCCGTGTGTGACTCCATTCCGCAGGTGAAGTCATAAATTACTTTGTTCCCAAGGCAAATTGTTGAACCGTATATGCATTCATTTTTAAGTGACAAATTGATTCAATTTTAAGTGGCAAAGATCTGAATCAGTGTATTTATGAAAAATCTGACAATCATTCTTATAAAAAAATAAAAATAAAAAAAATCGAACTTTGACTAACCAAGGCTATTTCTTAGAAAGTAAAAATTCTTGAAAAAAGAGACAGGAATACAACATATAAGAATATATTTGATATATTTTTTTTATTCTGTTTTTTGAGAGAAATGTTTTGACTCCAACATGTGAGGCCTCAATAAGGTGATTGCAGGTGCCAGATCTAGCTATAGATAACCCGACTTGACTGAAAAAATTGTACGAAAACCAAAGTCCATTGGGACAGCCACCTAAACTTGAACCAACCGGAGCCCTAAAAGAGCCATACATCAAAAACCAGGCCACCCGACAGAGTCTAGAACAACCCCAAGCAACACCAAGGGCACAGAAAATCCGAAATAATCAGTCTGGATTCAAGAACTACCAGTTTAAGAACAACTACATGGCAAATTACGTCGACTGCATTGAGAACCTCACCAATACGAGTACCAACCGTGTTCCGGCAAGTGACAAATGCGGAAGACAATGGTGGCAACCCCGTTGACGCTTTTGACAGCAACAACTTCTGATCGACTTAGAATGCACAAAAATTTCCATCATTACCTGCGATGGTGTCAAGCTCTATGCTCTATGGACAATAACATCGCTTTTTGATTGGTCGAGTTAACCGTCAATCGTTTAAAATTGGAACATGGGAGCTGAACCTAATATCTTCGCCATCAGTAACTGCTGTTGTTAACGCTGTTAATGATTTCTGATTGGTCGAAATCACCACCCAAAACCAAGTTCTTAGGCCGACAGATGGCAACAAGATACAACCATCATTACTTTGGTGACGATGTCTAACTGCCTCAACTGCAATATTAAAGGCTTCATGTCTCTGATTTCATCACGAAGAAGCTCCTAGCCCTGCCAACGATGGTTTCGCTCGCATTATTTCTAACACACCACCGCCCAAAATCACATCGACTGTAAGATCAAGAGTAGTAAGATCAAGAGTAGTGTGTTACACAATCCATAATGATAACAGGACGACGAAGTTGGCAAATTTACAAATAGTGATTGCTATGAACGGCTCAGATTTAATCTCAAGTTTCAACATTGATTAAGGGAGACACCTGTCTATAAATAGGGGTCGAACGCACTCATTTTAAGGACCCCCGAATTTTGAAGAGTACAACCAAACTTCATGTAGACCAAATTCCGAATATTACGCCAAAACTCTGCTTGACCCAAACCCAACTATACTAGAAAATCGAAACCTAATCCCCAGACCCTAGAATTCTGGTCCAGTATAACCGAACCGGAATCCTCAAATCTCCTAAATTCACTAGCTTCAACTACCTACGTTTGCCTCACTCAGCAAGACCCCTGAAGGATCGGTAGAGTCACGCATTAATTGATCCTGAACCGGCGGCCTTAGTTATAGTCTCATTTTATTTCTTTTATTTCATTACTATTTTCGACTCTATTTCAAAAATCTCCCCCTTTTTTTTCGATCCCAAATTCCAAAATTCTACCTAGACTTTAAATTCAATCGTACCAGGAGCCGGCTCAGCCGACCATTGGAGTAAGAGAGGGTCTTCTTGAGTGATTCTCACCCGAACAGCAATTTGATGGGACCCATTTATCTACCTATCCCTTTGGACGAGTTTATGACCGATGGAGACCGCATATCCTCCGAAATACTCGAGTATAAACACAAGCGTACAAATTTAGTATAAACTTAATTTATTTTTTTTTATAGAAAAAACCTCCAAAGAAACTGCCAATCAATGTTTAATCTCAATTATATAAGATTTATGTTGTATCATAATTCAAGCCACGTGCACAGAGGCTAATGGTTATGGACTCATCTTCTTTGCAACTCCATTAAAGCTTGATTTATTAGCTTATAATAGGATTGCGATAAAACTAAAATGATTTGTTTTTTTCCATTATAAAGTGTATTAGGAATTGAGAATTCATCTTTCACTATAGGATCTGTTATGAGTATCATATATGTCTCTCAAAAATGAGTAATTATTTTTAAGGTTTACAAATATATCCCCACCACAATTATAAGGAACGAGCCTAATTTATAGACAATAAATAGCACTTCAAATGTGTACTGTCGGCATAACAGCGAACTCGAGAATCACAACGTTTCACTTTTCGGCCATCGTCTCCGCTCGCAGAGGTCTCCTTTTAGCCTGCTTTCGAGTAAAGTCAAATTTAAATCATGATTTTTTATATAGTTGGAAGTAGTTTGGAAAATATTAGGACGTATGGCCTTACGGAGGGTACGGCCTTTTAATAAAATAGAATAGCAGACTATAATTCATGTAGACAACTTCAATTAATTAAAAAATATTATAATGATGATGATTTGCTTCTCTCTTAAAAAAAATACACGTTATTTGCTAATAGATTCTCGATCTGATTAGCTGAAAATAGAAGATAATGTTCTCTCTTAGTCCTTCATGCAGTTCGCCTGAAATTTTAGGGTTCTCATTTTTCACTAGAATTCCTTTGATATTTTTTTAAAAAATGCGCCCCTGAACATCTTTTGTGTTTAGCGTTCCCTTTTGTAATACTGTGACCGTTCTCTCGATTTTAAACCCCACTCCCAGCCTTATCAAAAGATATTATACTCCT